GAATATGCATAATTTGTGTTTCAGGCACTAGTTAACTAGTGAGCTGCTGCACTCCCACACATGTAAACTGGTGAAATTTCAATTGTTCCACTAGTTAACTAGTGGACAAAAATGGTCAGCTTGTATGTGTTTTTAGATGCAACTAGTTAACTAGTGAGCAAATCCGCACCTCACTAGTTAACTAGTGAGGTGCAGATATGCTCACTAGTTAACTAGTGAGGTACTAGTGAGGTGCAGATATGCTCACTAGTTAACTAGTGAGCATATCTGCACCTCACTAGTTAACTAGTGAGCAAATCCGCACCTCACTAGTTAACTAGTGAGCATATCTGCACCTCACTAGTTAACTAGTGAGCAAATCCGCACCTCACTAGTTAACTAGTGAGCAAATCCGCGCCTCACTAGTTAACTAGTGAGCAAATCCGCACCTCACTAGTTAACTAGTGAGCATATCTGCGCCTCACTAGTTAACTAGTAAGCAAATCCGCACGTCACTAGTTAACTAGTGAGCATATCTGTGCCTCACTAGTTAACTAGTGAGCAAATCCGCACCCTACTAGTTAACTAGTTGGCGTTTTGGGGCCCACTAGTTAACTAGTGAGCATATCTGCACCTTACTAGTTAACTAGTGATGCTTTTTTGCACCTTACTAGTTAACTAGTGGGCGCTTAATGGTGCACTAGTTAACTAGTGAGCAAATCTGCACCTCACTAGTTAACTAGTGAGCATATCCACACCTTACTAGTTAACTTGTGGGCGTTTTGGGGCCCACTAGTGAACTAGTGACACTTATTTTGCACCTCACTAGTTAACTAGTGGACATTTGTACCCTCTCTAGTTAACTAGTGAGCAGTTCCGCCTTCACAAGTTTACATGTAAGTGTCACACTGAAGCCACTACTAGTTTACTAGCTGAGGTTCCTCTGGCCAGCATGTTAACTTGTGTGCCGCATGCAAATGTTTGGGGTGGGATTTTGCAAAATTCCGCACTGTGATTGGTTGTCATATTTTATTTTAACATAGTGAGCCAATAGAAAGCCTCAATTTGAGAAATTCTCTGCCTCCTAATTAGAATTCTGTGCAACTAGCTAGCTAGTGTGAATGTAGGCCTGAACTAGTTTACTAGTATACATTTATGTCCTCACTAGTTAACTAGTTTGGACAATGGATGCATCAACTAGGTAACTAGTGAGCCTGCTACAATCAACTAGCTAGCTAGTGAGTCATTAATGGTTCACTAGTTAACTAGTGGCACTGCCCTACTCCAACTACTTAACTAGTTAGGAGTTTTGCCTTCACTAGTGAACATGTGGACACTTTGAACTGTCACTAGTTAACTAGTGAGACACAAAAACCTTCAACTAGCTGACTGGTATGCATTTTAGCCCTTACTAGTTAACTAGTGAGCCATTTTTGTGTCACCTAGTTAACTAGGAAGCCAAAATGTGTTCACTAGTCAACTAGTGGGCATTTCTTCTGTCACTAGTTAACTGGTGTGCACATTTTGGCCATCACTAGTTAACTAGTGAGACACAAAAACCTTCAACTAGCTGACTGGTATGCATTTTGGCCTTTACTAGTTAACTAGTGAGCCATTTTGTGTCACCTAGTTAACTAGTGAAGCCAAAATGTGTTCACTAGTTAACTAGTGAACATTTCCGTCTCCCACTAGTTAACTGGTGGGCTCATTTTGACCCTGACTAGTTAACTAGTGAGACACAAATACCTTCAACTAGCTGACTGGTATGCATTTTGGCCTTTACTAGTTAACTAATGAGCCATTTTTGTGTCAACTAGTTAACTAGTGAAGGTCAAAATGTGTTCACTAGTTAACTAGCGTGTACAGTTTGACCCTCACTAGTTAACTAGTTGACCTGTTGACAAGATATCAGAATTAATGCTCAAGCGGCTGGCCAAATTGGGCAAAGTTAACAAGTGGGATTTTTACATTCAGTAGTCAGCTAGTACGAGTTTTTGTACCTTACTAGTTGACTAGTAAAAACTAAATGTGTTTTAACTAGTTAACTAGTGGACATTGATCTGTCCACTAGTTAACTAGTGAACACACTGAGCAATACTAGTTAACTAGTAAGATATGAAACATTTTAACTAGTTAACTAGAGAGAATTTAGGCCTTACTAGTTAACTAGTTGACATTTAGGCTGTCACTATTTAACTAGTTGACACAAACATGGCTAACTAGTTAACTAGTGGACAGAAATGGCTTACATGTTCATGACAATTCTGGCTGATATCCTGATATCAGAATAAATGCTCATTTGGCTTGCCATACAAATGGCTGAATGATTTAATGCCATGTCTATACTTGGAAGAGATTCGGTATAAGTTATCTGACAGACACGAAAAGTTCAAAAAAATATGGGGACCTCTTTTGGATCACATAAAGAAGAAGCCGACTCGATCTGGAACGTAAAGGCTTAAGAGCTGAACTTGCTTGCACTGTTCAGGCAACAAAGAAGACTGTAGCCTCTACCTATCTAGACACTATGGGAAACTTAGTGCACCGGCGCTGTTCGTGTCTCCTTGTTTTCATTTTTGTATCTGATGTTGTTTATTATTTTTAATTTCCCCGTATTTTTGTTGTTCTTTTGTTGTTCTTTGTTTGTATACAGTGTAACAAATGCAAAATTGGCTAAGTAAAATAATTAAAAGAAAAGATGCTCTTCTATAAAATTCTATTAATCCTAACAGTTTCATAACCTTTTATTGGTCGACTAAGCTTACACAGATAACCAACCAATGCACACTACTATCCCACAGAATGTAAACTAACATCACCTGTGCTATTTCGATATTCGTATTGGATGATCTGATCTCGGGGCTGTGGTCTTTGTGCGACTGTTTACTGAGAGCGTGTTGCTCATATCAACAAATGCTGATGGGCTGGCTCCAAGAAGAATCATTCAAGAGGAATTGGCCTACTGAACTTGTCAATATTCAACTTAAGACATAGATATTTCCAACAAAATCTTCTTAGTAACTGTTCAGACTTCATACATTATTCCCACTGATTATTTAGTCAAACAAAGAGCTCCACAGCGACAGCCAGTTAGCCTTTACACGTTTGTGGTTAGAAAATTAAAATAAGTAAATAAAACACAGATAAGTTGAATTTTTTCCTGATGGGCTAAGGAGGGTGAACGCTATACAATTAAGTCAATTTTCCCTTTGCTGTAAAGTAAAAAAAAAAGACATGACAAGGAAACAAACAGCTTTCTTGACTGTGAATCCAAGCTTTTGATAGCAAACTAATGCAGAAGCATCTCTTAGAGCAGGGCTATTCAATTCCAGGCCTTGAGGGCCAGTATCTAGCACATTTTAATTTTAACCCTGCTGATTTCAATCAGCTGGTGATTAACAGGCCTGATGAGCTGCTGCACAGTTGACTCAACAGCTGAATCTAGTATGTCGGACCAGAGAAACCACTAAAACGTGCTGGATACCGGCCCTCAAGGCCCAATCTTGAATAGCCCTGTCTAAAGCCGGGCGTACACTGTGCGACTTTTTCACTCGCAGCGTTCAGCTTCAGCTCAAACTGTACGACTTCCTCGCAGAGCTGATATCACGAGTCGTGTGCTCACACTGTACGACCCAGTTCTCGCATGCGACCTGACTGCTCACACTGTACGTCTGGTAGCAACACGTCGGCCCTAAATATATGCTAAAAATAGCAGTTTTTACTCAACACGTCAGACTTTTTTGTCTTGTCTTGCCTGTTGTCCTTCGGGAGTGCTGCAGGAGGACACACAGGGATTTATGGGGGTTGGATGAGGAAAACCAAATAAAGAAAGTAAATCTGTGTTTTGTGATCAGTTTAATTTGACATGAACACGACAAACACGCTTTCTTGACAATCTTTGTGAGTAAAAAAAACGTGTAGAAACAAAAACGAACAGCGTGTGTTATTAGGGAAATAGCGAGCGACCGGCGTTGATGCAGGATTGCGCGCGCATGCGCCGTGAGCGGTTCTGATACTTTTTTGGATCGTAGCTGCTCGCAGCTGCTCGCAGCGCCGCTTCAACAGTGCGATACCCTCACGAGGGACGAGCGAAATATTAAACACACCAGAAGTCCCTGCGACCTCACGACTGCTGATCGGCGGCTGGTCACGTGGTGTTAATCGCCTCTCGTAACCCCCTGTACACTACACGACCGCTCGGCGCAAAACTCGCCCCGATGTCGTGGCTTCTCGCACGAGTGGAAAATCGGCTCAAAAAAGTGAAAAAGTTGCACAGTGTACGCCCGGCTTTAGAGGCACAATTGTGTCAGCTGACACAGGTAGGCTTTGTTATGAGTCTGGCAAAAATACAGAGCTTTAATTCAAAGTTTGGAAGAAAAAGAGACGGCAAGTGGGAAATCGTTAGAATATCTGTTTCTGCCATTTCTTTCATTGCTTGTTTACTACTGTCCTGTGCCATCATGCTCAACAGGCCTGCACTGCACCAGATCTCTTGCTGCTAATGAAATATTACCACATCAGGCACAAGTTGCTTCTTTACTGAGGCTTCAGTACTCCTCACAATCCTTCTGTCAGCAGAGAACAAGATGTGATGCCATTTAAAGTGTAATTAAAAGCTCTTTTCCATTTAAAAACAACAGCCCTACATTCCATGGCTACACACTCGACATGAAGAATGAGAAAAGTAAAGAAGTGTTGAGAGTCTTGGATTCTCTCCTAAATCCTTCAGCACATCCAGCTTGGGTTAGCATGCTCAAATGGTTTTGGTATTAAATCTCCACCCTCATATTTCACCACTGAAGGACTTCTTGATTTTGTTCACTGTAGTCATTAAATATGTGTGAAAGCAAAGAGCAAAGCTGCATTCAAATCGTGTTAAAAGGGTTACGAAGGAAATTAGTCGAACATATCCAACATTTCTGTGCTGTGAAAAATAAAAGCAAACATGAAAACACCTCACTTAATAATTTAGACTCACATTGACCTTGTGGGGTGTAGATCTGATCAGATGGAATACATACATGTACAGTCTTTCTGGTTTTTGGCCAACTCAAAGCCGGGTCGGCACTCGCAAGACACCCCGCCTTTGCCTGGAGCCTCTCTGCAGATATGAGCACAGCCATGGTCCTTGTTCATGCAGTTCATTCCATCTGTGCAGACGATTGGGACAAAGGTACGTTTTAGTGACACTTTAGACAAGAAAAACTCATTTTCAATGTCATGCCAGGACCTGAACTAATGATGCAAAGAAACACTTAAAACATTGATCAACAGTTGATTGCAGAAGAACACGCATGAGTGCCCACAGCATGTCTCATTAATCAGGATTTTGGCCATTTGTACAAGCATTCTAAATTTAATTCAAAGGAAGGAATATAGGACAGTTTGAGGCTGTTAAATGAGCACAATTGATGTAAACAAATGAGTCAATAACTGGCTGCTGCTGAGCTTGATGACATCCTGAGAAAGTAATTCAGTCATTTGAATGAGTTAGGAGGGTAGACAACAGGACTGTAGTAGCCTAGAAATCTATACAACCCGTAGCAAAAACATTTAACTCTGCAGGTCGGCCTAGAAACGCTCGATTGTAGCCTCAGCAAGTCTGCCATTGGCCCAAACATTTTTGTGTCTTGCCAATCACGGCAATCTATGTTTGTTGGGCGGACAAGCACCAGAGCTGCGACAGAGAAAAACTACAAAAACGGCATCAGCTCTGGAATGGTGCTCAATTGAAATGGCTTTGGCAGCAAATTTGGACAATTTAGACTTGGACTAGGGCTTTTTTTTGTAACATTAACTGATAGAGGTACTTAAGTCTTTTTTTTTTCAAATGAGGATGTATTTTCATTTCCTTCTTCTTCTTCTTCTTCTTCTTCTGCTTTGATGATGTATGGCAAACTGCCCCGTTGACTGATTACTGTAGCGCAGAATACGTACTGTCCAAGTGCACGTACAGACAGTTTAAAATACAACCCTATATTCCGCCCCATGACGTCGTGGCTAGACTAGACTATATACATATTTTGGCCTTATAGGGGTGAATATTGTTGCTTTTAAGCTTAATATATTACCTTTACTTATGACCAATAAGCTGGGATATTCTATATAAATATAGAGTATCACTCTGATTGGTCTTTGAATGTTTAATCAGAAGATTCTAGGGTTCTTTGCTTTTTCAGGGATCAAACACACTTCGTATCAATTCAGACAGTCAGGTGTATAAAAGGTAAGACATTTATTTTCTAAACAATTAAAAACATGACAACTAGGACACTATGTGATGAATGAATCTAGGTGAATTGAGTGTGAGGTGTGATGAAGATTGAATGGTGTGTGTTTATCAGAACCTTGCATCTAGAAGAAACTGAGTTAAGGTGTGAAAAGAATTTGGTCTGCATTAAACTATGAAGTTGGATCTTATCAAAACGGCATCAGACGCAATCTTGCTGTGTTCTACGTACCCCTGAGGAGACTATCTTTCGGTTGCAAGATGCCAGGGGGGTTGGGTGACCCCAAGGTACCGAAGTTCGTAGAAAAGACAGCAGTACGACCAGGTCAGTCCAGAGTCGTCTACCGGATCACAACAGATGGATGAAATCGTTTGCGTCTAGAACAGCTGTGTCTGAGTAGCTGAAGGAACCATTTTGCTGTGTCAGCTGTAGGTTGTAACAGGTTTTTGACAGCTTGTCAAGAGATGCGGTGGTTAGAGTTTCCCCCCGGTGGCCAGTATGGAGTTCTGCTCAAACTAACTGAATGCTGAATCTCACAGAATGCTGAATCACTCCGCAAGTGATCCTGTTTTAATATTCTCATATTATGATTTACCTGGCCAATCAGGAGGTGCCATGTTAAGAGGTGTTAACAAACAAACCTCAGAACATCTCGCCTTCTCAGATACACGATGCTCTGATTTGTGGGTAAGAAAATATCTATGTGCATGAAATTACTTTAACTTTAATTTATTTCTAATAAACATTGTGTCTGAGTGTAGATAATGATTGACTTGTTAAACCAAACATTACTGATCATAACATCAAAATGTTTCATTGTAATATTAAAATTCATTTCAACTTCATTGAGTTAGGCACATATTATTCAAACATTAATATCATTATTCATATAACATTTGTCCATTCAACCATTTTATTATTTAATGATTATTTTACTTAGGAGTTGAAAAAGTTCTTCTTTTGTCCTGTGAAGCAAGCGGCTAGATAAGGCTGCAGCTTGGCAGAGAGGAACCTTGAGAAAGGAACATGATGTTGACAATCAAAGTATAAACACGCAGTGGCGAATCTTTCCTGCAGCTTGGAAAATTAAGAGACGCAGAGAGGCAGATTCATGTCTGTAGACCGAAAAGGTCAAACTGTAGATGAAAACTGACCATTCCTGGACGCTACAGCCTTAATGAGCCACTGTTAGAAGCTTTAAATTTAAAACTTTAAACTTTAACCTTCCTAAATTAAACATTAAAATGTAAAAGTTTTGTCTTAATTTAGATTATTACAACATTGATAGTGGAATTTCCCCCAGTGGGAGCAATTCTGTGGTAAACAATTAATGTGCAAGCAGAGAATTCAGACACAGATACAGTTAATTAGACAGTTATTTAACTGGGTAAACTAGGCTGGGATCTTTGGAAAGAATCAGAATCAGAATAGGTTTATTGCCATTGTCAGTGAACAAACAATTCACAAACTAGGAACTTGCTTTGGTACTAATGTGCTACATATAACATGAATAATAATAAGATTAAAAATTGAATAAAATAGAATAAAACTAGAATAACACTTTCAGCTATAAAAAATGGCAGGTAATGGTAACATGGCCGATAACGTGATGTTGTGTCGAGTACCGAAGACGAGCATGGTTGTGTGTTTATAAGCTATTCACAAGTCTAATGGCAGATGGAAAGAAGATGTTCTTATGGCGGGAGGTTCTGGTCCGGATGGACCGTAACCTCCTGCCTGAGGGAAGCGGCTCAAAAAGTCTGTGACCCGGGTGCGAAGGGTCAGCTGCTATCCGACCTGCACGCCCCTGAGTTCTGGAGACGTACAGGTCCTGGAGAGATGGAAGGCTGCAGCCAATCACCTTCTCAGCAGAGCGCACAATGCGCTGCAGTCTATGTTTGTCCCTCACTGTGGCTCCAGCGTACCACACAGCGATGGAGGAGGTGAGGATGGACTCAGTGATGGCCGTGTAAAACTGCACCATCATCTGGGCCGGCAGCTTGGCCTTTTTCAACTGCCGCAGAAAGTACATCCTCTGCTGGGCCTTTTTGATCAGGGAGCTGATGGATGGCTCCCACCTAAGGTCATGCGTGATGGTGGTTCCGAGGAAGCGGAAGGAGTCCACAGTGGTGACGGGGGTGTCCGTCAGGACGAGGGGGAGAGATGGAGCTGTGACTTTCCTGAAGTCCACAGTCATCTCCACTGTCTTCTGAGCATTGAGCTCCAGGTTGTTGCTGCTGCACCAGTACACCAGCCGTTCCACCTCCCTCCTGTAGGCGGACTCATCACCATCAGAGATGAGCCCGATGAGGGTGGTGTCGTCCGCAAACTTGATCAGTTTAACGGAGTCATGGCTCGAGGTGCAGCAGTTTGTGTACAGGGAGAAGAGCAGAGGAGAAAGTACACAGCCCTGTGGGGATCCTGTGCTAATAGTCTTAGTGGTGGAGACATTCTTCCCCAGCCGCACGCACTGCCTTCGGCCCGTCAGGAAGTCAGTGATCCACCTGCAGGTGGAGTTGGGTACGTTGAGCATGGAGAGCTTGTCCTGGAGCAGAGCAGGGAGGATGGTGTTGAACGCAGAGCTGAAGTCCACAAACAGGATCCTAGCGTAGGTTCCCGGGGAGTCCAGGTGCTGCAGGATGAAGTGGAGGGCCAGGTTGATGGCGTCGTATACAGACCTATTAGCTCTGTATGCGAACTGCAGAGGGTCCAGGAGGGGGGAGGTGAAGGACTTGAGATGAGGGAGGACCAGGCGCTCAAAAGACTTCATGACTACAGACGTCAGCGCCACAGGCCTGTAATCATTCAGTCCAGTGATACAGGATTTCTTAGGGACAGGGACAATGGTGGACAGCTTAAAGCAGGCTGGAACATGGCAGGACTCCAAGGAGATGTTAAAGATGTCCGTGAAGATTGAAGACAATACCTCTGCGCACTGTCTCAGGGTAGCGGGGGAGACACCGTCCGGGCCCGGGGATTTCCGTGGGTTTTGCTTACAGAAAAGCCTAAGCACATCCTCTTCTGTCACTGAGAAGGCAGTGGAGGTGGAGGGGTGGTCAGCGGGGACTGTACTGTTCACAGTAGGGTAGGTGGTGGTGGTGGGGGGGGGGGGGGGGGGGCATGTGACACCAGAGTGGCTGAAGAAACCTGTGCAGTAGGGGGTGTGGGGGATGGGTGTTGCACTTCAAACCTTGCATAAAAGGAGTTAAGTTGTTCAGCCAGTTGTAGATCGTCAGCAGCATGTTAGGCTCTAGGCTTGTAGTTTGTGATTTGCCTGAGCCCTCTCCTAGGAGGACATATTTAATTAAAGGAGCATATTTTTAAAAAAAAACTGAAAATTGAGGCTAACTACAACTTGAAACTGATCCAACCTACCTCGTTGTTTTTAAAAAAAATGGAAATCAGTTTCAGTAAAAACAAAAATAAAAAATAACTGAAAAAAGTGCTGTATGCCCCTGAGCAGCAGCTTCTTTTATCAAACGTTTACACGGTCAAGTATTATCCTAACATTCATGCATATCTGTGGTGACGGGTTCTTATAATGGATTATATAAAGCACAAGAATGTGAGGCCATTTCATGAGATTCTGCTTATTTTACCAGTGAACTAATCTGAACATTGAACCAAGCATCACCATTTCTTTCTTTAGAAGGATCCTTTCCTTATTCTGATACTTTCATTTTGTAAATCAGCAAATACGTATTTAAAATACTGAAACATTTGGCTGAAATAATCATTTGGCATAGTGCCGCTGAATCAAGATGCCAACAGACTACAAACCAAAAACATGCATGTTAGCTTAATTAATGTTTAACTTTTCTGTCACCAGGTGTGAGTGTGTCTTTTGTTCATCTCCATAGGTGTTTCCACTATTGGAACTACAGGGTGACTTTATCAGAACTCCCCGAAATGCACATGTC